ATTACAGTAAATGCTTGAAGGAAGGAAGGCAAGACTGGAAGGAGGAAGATCATTCTTCCCCGAGGGGAAATGGGGACCCCCTGGAGAAGGTGAAGCTTGCAGCACCTCGCCATGAGAAACTGTGGCACACCTGTATTACTCTCACCATCTGGTTTTTAACTGATGTTCCCCTATTCTGTTTTGCTGGATAGTATCAGGTTCGAAAGTTTAGGCATCAGCTGTGAAGATAATGAGATTCATTATGACGCCCATTCTTGTTGACTTTTATCTACTTTTGAAGACCTACAATGTCTCCAATGTTTTGGTTTTGTCGGTTTTATTCTTTACTGTTTTGTTCAATTGTATTATAACTAACGATATAGGCAATTCTATTAGAGATAGCGGGAGGCATTATAGTAACCATTGTTGATCACCTTGTATTATGTTTTTACATTATCTATTATGTCCACCCTTTTGACTTGACCAATTCTGTTCTGTTATGTCACATTTGGTTTTACTCTCTTCCAAAAAAGTAATAAGAACAGTGGGAGCAATGAAACCCAAAATGTGTAATAGTGATGGTACAAAAGAGAGGAAAAGAAAGTGCTCCAAACTATATAACTGCATGTATATTTAAGTGTATAAGATAGAAAATGATATCACAGAGTTTTATTGGATCAATGAACAGAACTGTTTGCAGTATCATTGATGGAATGTCCACTTTACAAGCTTTAATTTTGTGACTTGAACAATTATTTCTAAGATGACAATATGTAATCCATTAACTAGTGATTTCCTACTGTTCATTTTTTTTTCTGTAAATCTGTATAACTTGTACCCTTTCCCTGCTTTTTTTTTTCTTTTCTCCTTAAATAAAATTAAAAAAAAAAAAAAAAAAAAAGAAACTGTGGCACAGCTGGCCCACTCCTGGGGAGCAGGACTGAGAGCGGGGGGGGGGGGGCGCTCAGGGGGTGGGAACCTTGCAAGAGTCTGGAGCCCATAATGGAACAAAAGCTAGACCAGCATCGCCCAACTTTAAAGAGCATTTGAGCCACTTTCTGAATGATGCAATAAGGCTTCTGCTTCCCCAGCAGAGCTCAGCGCGGCCCACACTAATGGTCCACCTTGAGTATCAAGGCTCCAGAGTGCAGGCCAGCGGCTCCAAGACTTGAGTGACTTCTGAGGCCGTCTGGAAACTTGAAACCTGCAATCACTGGGCATGGTGACACAGGCCTATAATGCCAGCTACTCAGAAATTGAGGCAGGGGGACAAGTTCGAGGCCAGCCTAGGGAACTTAGCAAGAGTCCGTCTCAAAAAGAATGGGATTTAGCTCAGCGCGCCCTCAGATTACATCCCAGATACCAAAATGCCTGGGTGCACAGGCCACACCCCAGACCAATTAAACAGACTCACCAGGGATGGCACCCAGGTGTCACAGTGTGTAACACTCCATGTGATTCCCAGAATGAGAAACAATCTCTAGGCTGGTTCACACCTTTACACAGGGAGCCCAGAGAGAGGCTGGCACCTGCCTCAACCACACAGCCAGTGAATGGACAGCTTGGCACAGGGCTACATTTACCAAACATGTGGCTGTTCCCTATCATATCAGGAGGCAGAGGAAGGCAAAGGAGATCAGGGACTTAAGGATCAGCCCAAATGGTGGACAGGACCCTCAAGTTTGGGGACAAGAGGTCTGCCAGGCTGCACCCTGGGACATTGCTACTCAGGTCTCTCGTGAGTCCAGTTCTCATCCTGTCACACTCACGAGCCCCTGACCCTCAGAATGACTCCAAGCTATTGGGGGAAATTGTCACCCTCTCCACAGATGGCAAATCGACGTCCCTTGTCCAATAGTACAGCCATCTGTCACTTGAATCCTCGTATATCATGAGAGCTCCAACTTTTCACGTACTCATTTCAAACCACAAGTCTTGCCTCCCACTCCCTGAGTGTTTCTGTACCTGGATTGTGACTGGAAAATGATGTCAAAGAAGTTTCCAGGCCATCAAGCTGGGTAGCAGAGTGGTGTGGTCCCCACTGGTGGTGCATGTGTAGGAGGTGCCTGTTCTCCCCAGTGTTGGGAGCATCACCCCACTGGACTTCATACTAATGTGGTTCCCCAGGGGTGGAGAAAATGACTTTGAAAAGATCGCTGTGATGCCACACAGAGGCAAAGGATTGCAGAGAAACGTGGCCTCACATGCCAGGCAGTGGAGTCACAGATATTAAAATGGCCGACTCCCTTGGAAGAGCTCACAGGGTTTTTAAGGCCGGGAGAGGCCTGTCATCTGTGATGGATAATCGTGACTGTCAACCTGATTGGGCAGAGAGCTGCCTAGACATTAATAAAGCACACTTCTGGGTGTGTGAGGGTTCCCAGAGATGATCGGTGTGTGGAACAGCAGACTGACAGGGAGAACTGCCTGGCTCTGGGGGCCATACAAGAGGCTGGAGGCCCCAATGAAACAAAAGCAGAAGAAAGAAGCCCACCAGCTCAGGCCTCTATCTCCGTCTCTGTCTTTCTGTTTTCTCTCTGTCCCTTCTCGCCACCTCCCCTGGCTGCCATGAGGTGAGCAGCTTTCCTCTGACACACCTCTCCTCTGACACACCTCCACCATGATGGTCTGCCTCATCTCAGGCCTAGAAGTAATGGCGCCAGTTAACCATGGACTGCAACCTCCAATACCATTAGCCAAAATAGACCTTTTCTCCTTTAAGTGTTTTTGCCTGGGTACATATTTTGTTACAGGGATGCAAATCTATCACCAAACCTCACTTTCTGAGGGATTGTCCTGTTTTACTACTGTGCCTAATTGTCTGATCTTGGGCATGTCGCTTGATCGGTCTCTTCTCAGGAAGACAGTAGGTCTCTCCGTCTCTCCTAATGGAAGATTAAGTGAGATCATTCTCACAGGGACCAGCACTAGGAATTATTCACCTCACCCCAGTGGGCTGGAGGAATTTCCGTCACACAGTGCTTCCGTCCTGAGAGACCCCTCCTGAAGGCCACTTTCCTGCTGGTTGGCTCCCTGGGTCTCCCAGGACAGGTCGCTGGAGCTTCAGGACCTACTGTCTGCTGTCTTCATCTGCCCACGGCACTCACTTCCCTGACCCACAGCAAATCCTCCCTTCCTTAAATAGAGTTTTCCTTTAGGTCAGAAGTCATAGGATCCAGGAAGTCTGTCCTTTTCGCCTTTTGTGTTATGTTGTGTTGTCTTGTCTTGTCTTGTCTTGTCTTGTCTTGTCTTGTCTTGTCTTGTTTGGTGTGGTTTGGTTTGTTTTTTTGAGACAGCTGGCCTTGAACTCACTATGTAGTGCAGGTTAGCTTTGAATTCACATCAATCTTCCTGCCTCAGCATCCTGAGTGCTTAGGTTACAGGTGTGTGCCACCATACCTGGCTTTTTTGTTTTTGATTTTTGTTTTACCTTTGTATCTTTATGTCCTCAGGGTCCAGTACAGAGCCTGGCATAGAATAGGTGCTAGTACAGGTTTGTGAGACGAGAGAGGGAGAGTTCAGCTTTGGGGGGGGGGTCACTCGAGAAAGCCACTCTTGCCCTGCCCTCCCAAGCAAAACCTGCCACTTGCTCTGGTGTCCTGGGGATGCTCACTGAGGCATCTCCACACCTCCCTCCTCACTAGGCTGCACAACAACCAGGGCCTAGGTCTCGTTCGTCCCTGTAAGCACATAGTAGGCCCGCACTCAGCACATGGCATGTGCTTGTTAGAATGAGTGGAATTGAGCCCAAGATGAAAAGGACACACATATGTCCCTTCCTGATTTTTAGGGGTGGCTTTGGGAAGCAGGGGTGGCTAACCACATATTACCCTCTCCATCGCCCCATGGGAGATGATGCCAGAGCCGTAGGGCCTGAATCAGGGGGCCAAAAGTGAGGAGCAGGTGGAAACAATTGTCTTTAACTCACCCACAAACTTTCACAAAGGGTGTAAACCTGCCCTGTTTGTGCAGGAGCAGGGAGCCAGGGCCCAGCCCTCCAGGCAAAGGTATGCAGCGGGCCTGGCAACCTGCTCAACCAAGCCAGGCTAGAGCTAGAGGCTCTAGAGCCAGGGACCAGGCCTCCAGCCCGGACAGGCCCATGGCTCAGTGAACACTCCAGCTGCAGGCCTTTGCTTTGGCCCAGTGGAGACAGGTGGGGTGGCTTGCGCCGATGTGCAGCAGTCTTTATAGGGTTATTTCACTGTGTGCTCGTGGAGAGGGTAAAGGGCTTCCTCGGGGAGCAGCCAGTAAGTAACCGGGCAGGATTCGAACCCAGGTGGGGCTGGCGCCTGCTGTCCCTCCCACTGCCCCGCCCAGCTCTCCTGCTCACCCAGCCTCTAGCCCTCCAGGCCAGCCCCAATGCTGGTGTCCCCATCCACCTCAGGGAAGCAGCCCTGCCTGCAGCACACTTGAGGCCAGAAGATGGGTGACCCTCCCACCTCTCCCCCAAACCACTAACCTTTACCTTCTTTCCATGGTGTTGTTCCTTTCTGGGCAGCAAAGCTCTGCAGCAGAAGCCAACTCCAGGGTCCAGCAGACCTGGGGATCAAGCCGTGTCACTTGCATGCATTCGGCACCTTCTGTGCTGAGCATGGTGTGACATTGCACGAGGCCCTGAACCTCTCTGAGCCTCAGTTTACCATTCTGAACAGAGGGATAATCATGCTAGTGACCATACCACCCATGTGGGTTTATGGATGTGTGTGTAGGGCCCAGCGTATGCCCAGAGCCAGCAAGACTGTGCCCCCACTTCTTCTCTTCACCCAAGTCCTTGCTCATATCAGTAAGAATGACCAGATGAAAACGGGACCAGTGTCACCCACTTGTTTTACAGTGGGAGAAACTGAGGCCCAGGAAGCACCATGACTTGCGCAGAGGTACATTGTGCATTGTCTGTGGGCACCCAGTTTGCCCAGGGTCCTTAGGGCCCACCCCTGACACTGGGAGCAAACAGGCTGAGTGAACAGTCCCCCAGTGTTTTGGAATCTCTGAAGCTCAGTACATACACACAGGCCAGGGAATATGTACATTCAACTTTATTTCTCTCCATGCGAAGAAATACAGAATCCCCGGTGTGAGTGGTGATGGCAGGGAAAGGGCAGTTTTTGCAACTCTTTAGGGGTCCAGAGAAAGAGTAGGTCAGCACCTCCCAGCCGGGGATCCACGGTGTTCATGCAGCAGGAGGCTGGATCTAAGACAGCTGGGACAGCAGGGCCACTATCCCTCCTAGCTTTGGTCTGGAGATTCCAGGCTGCCCATGGCTCAGGGCATCAGGGACCTCCCCTTCATTTCTTCTTGTCCAGGACTCTGCTCTCTTCCTGCCTCGAGCTCCCTCTGCCCAGGCGCTAGCCTTTGGGATCATCTGATCTGCGTCTCTGGCACCAGTAGGAAGCACTCAAGTTGTTTGTGCTTGGACTGGAAAAGGATCCAGTGGAGCCTTTCTTGGAACTGTCTGCTGGCGGCTTTACCTGAGCACAGCCCTCTTCTGTCCCGGGCTTGGAGCATGGAAGAGTGTGTATATTTGTGGAAGGGCATGCACAGTGAGCTGACGTCAGATGTGGTTGTAGCCCAGGAGGACTGGATATGGGCGTCTCCAGGAGCACAGAGGCCACAGAAACCCGTCTCTGCCTCAATTTCACAATGCAATTCTCCTTAAACCACAGGACTCCTTTCCTTCTCTTCCAGGGTTGCTAAAGCTGGGCCAAGACCCATGGGAGACCACCGGGGCATGACCAGAGGCCTGGGAGCAGTTGACCCCACAGACCTCCTGTCTACCCTGGCCTCACCTGACCTCCCCAGTACATCCCTCCCAGCAAATAGGGATCTCTCTGTTTTGGCTTCAAAGATCCCATGTGGCAAACCCAAATCAGTCCTTGGCTTAGGAGCAGGACAGGCTAGAGTTTATCCCTATGACGCTGGGGACTGATATAGGAACATCAGCCCCTAAGGAACCCACTCGATGGCCCTGCTCTCCCAGCAGGTGCTTGGCCCTGTCTGGAAGGCTCAGAGCTGCCAGGGTCTCAGGACCCAGAGCTCCTCCCATGTCCAGAGCGTCTGAGAGGGTGGGGATGGGGCAGTGGCCCTGCAGAGGAGGCATAAATGATCTTGGTGGGTACAGGGGAGATAGACCTTGCCAACCTCAGGATGTTGTGTCTGAGGCTCAGGACTTGTCCTTACTGAGAACAGTCACTTTAGTTGCAAGACAGGGAAGCCTGGAGCACCTTCTCCAGGTCTGACCTGGAGCTGGGGACATGCAGGAGGCAGGTGCCCTGTGGGTACAGCCTTTCAGGGAGAATGCCAGGAAGAATCAAGGATGTGAAAGCAGACAGGTGTGGGCCCCGCTCAGCAACGTGAGGATGCTCAGCCCTGTGCTTCCAACGTGCGAGTGTTTCCCCGAACTTGGGCCTCCCACTCTCTGCAGATGGAACCCTTCAGCTATGCTCTTCCCTCTATCTTAGGACTTGAGACCCAAGAAACAGCAAGCCTTCATAAAAATGTCCTGGCTCACTCCCTGGCAAACACCTGTAATACCCTGGGCGCCTACCCATGTGCCTGACGGCACCCAGAGCACAGCACCCAGGGCACGTGCTGAGTGGCAGCCTCACCCTGAAGCTTGGGCTGGGATCGCGGCAAGCGTGTGGCACAAAGCATGCAAACGGTCTGTTCTCTCCCCTCAGGAAGAATACAAAAGACAAAATGCACAGACACGAAGGTACAGTGATGTTTCTTCTCCTACCATCAATGGACTTGTTTATGGGGCTGGTTCTTCTCAGTCTGGCAGTTTACGCTGCTTGGTAGGTCCACAAAATTATAGGGATACGAAATAGCCCAGAACATTGGGGTCAAAATGTCAGGACGAGCCCTTGAGATTAACCTACATCATTCATTGGTTCCACCGCAAATTTCTTTCTTTTCTTCTTTCCTTCCTTCCTTCCTCCAGATTTTCCCATCTGGGCTGACAATGGGGTGAATTTGGAGCTGCCCTCCAAGTTTGTGCTTTTGGAGCTGGGAGGACAGAGGGGCACGTGGCAGTCTCCGTCCTGTCCCCTCATGGTGTATAGGGTGTGTGGTGTCAGAACTCTCCAGCTAGCCAGCATCTGCCTTTGCTAGCACAGCTTCCCGATTACTTTTATTTTGAAACTGTAAAGAAAAAAAACAGTAAATGGCAGAACAGAACTCAGAACACTGGGTTTTCAAGCCCTCGATTTGGGAATTCAGTTTGTGGGAATGTTAAGGGTCATGTGTAGGATCGAGGACCTCTTTGATTTGGGGTACTGGGCTGAACTCCTGCTAAAGAGAACACTGGCCCTGGGGATCCTACTGGGCCAATCAGAATTGGGCCTGGAACAAGTGTTGCTGTAACTTTACCAAGAGGCTCTTCTCTTTTTTTCCTGATTAGCTCTGGGACTGATTAAAATGTGTGCCTCTGTCAGGGCCCTGGTTAGAGCTGCTAGCTACTGTCTTGCCCTCCCAGGGAGAGATCTTGCCTGAAAAGCAGCACAAAAGACTGAGACAGACTCCTGTCACCATCATTCTGTCATCTGGATTCAGTCTTTCCCAAAGCTAAAACAGTCCGTGCTGGAATTTGTTGAGGGTTTCCCTGCTGGAGTAACTTCCCTAGGCCACCTGCTCCCAAAATGCTGTTTCCTGACTTCCTCCAAACGCATGGTCTGCTTCTGGTCTACACCGGCTCCCTCAGCAGGAAGATCAGTGCGTCAGGCCCACAGTTTACAGAGCACAGCCTCATCCGTTATCTTGCACCATGTTCACAAAACTTCCAGCTGGAGGCTTTTTCCCAGCACCTGATATATGAAAATACTGAGCTCAACCAAGCGGCTCACGGGCCTGGGGCCCAGGGCCATCAGAGCTGAGATTAGAGCTCACGGCCTCTCACTGCTAGGTCAGTGTGCTTTCCACACCCTTTCTCTTGATTTGCTGCCTGGGCGTGGGACAAGTCAGGAAATGCCCACTCATGCAGTCCCTGCTGCAGAGCTGGGCCACTTTCCGGGAGGGAAGGACGAGGCTGGGACCCTCGCCCGCTGGCCCTGCCCCAGTGCCGCCCTCTCCTCCGTGCAGCTGTGCTCACCTAAGACGTTGATAGCCACAATGATAATGACGATCCCCAGGATAATGAAGCTGACACTGAGCAGCCGGGCCAGGCGGCCCAGCCTCCGAGCCCCGTCCATGTCCCCGTGCTGCATGCTACTTCGAGACTGCAGAGACAGGACAACAGACACCTCAACAAGGCTCTCCATCCGCTGTGCAGGTTGGCAGCCCCCCAGGTGGTTTCCAGGCACACCCCATTCCCACCGCTGCTCACATTCTGGTAGCCTCCTATGGCGGGAGGAGAGATCCTCCTGGAGAAGTGACCTGGTCGCTTGTAGGAACCCCTGACAAAGCCAACCCCTCACTGGCAGGATACAGCTGCAGTGCATGCAGGCCACTTCCTCTCGGGATAGTAAGGGGCAGGTAGTAATAGCAGTGGTGTGACAGAGACTCAGGAACTAACAGGCCCGACCAACTCACGGGAGCAGCCAGCCTAGGGCCCCCAGACCCTGGCCCAAGGCTCTCTTCTGCAGTCCCTTCCACACCGGAAGACACCCGCTGTGGCTTTTCCTGCCTCTTTTCCTCTGTGAGCCTCCCACTGGCCACAAAAGAAAACCAAAAGCATTGTCCTTCTCCCTCTGTTTTGCATGCAAGGCCACACCTTTATTCCACTAATCTCACCTCCCGATCATACAAGACAGACAAGATGTCCTGGGTGAGAAAGTCTGGAGCTGGAGCCTAAGAACCCCAATCCATCTGTGGATTACCTTTTGGTGAGCTGTTTCCCTTGGGCCCAGTTCATCTCCGGAAACCAGGCGGATGCAAGAAGGGATGGGGAAATTAAGACCAGGAAAGACCCGGGGAAGTTCTCAGGTGCCTTGGCAGGAGGTGTGTCCAAACATTTGCGAGGCTAGCCTCGTGTCCCTGCTTAGGATGACCAAGGGTCACTGCTGGCGAGGGCTGGCCCCCTGACCTCAGTCTCTTACTCTAGAATCCATGTGTTCTTGGGCTTCCTGAACTAGTCTCAGCTCCACTAGGAACAGCTCCAAGCAGAATCCACCCAAGTGCCACTGCTTTCAGGGCCTCAGACCACACACTTGGTCACTTTGTATTCTAATTCTTAGAGGCTGCTGAGTTCAGCGGGCAAATGCAGCTAAGTACTTCGATGATGGCACCAAGGAGACTGATGGGGGTGGTGATTTATCAGGCTCTTACTTTGTGCCAGACAGCTTGCTAACGACAGTACCTGATGATCTCATGCAAACTCAGCATCATACCAGGAAGCTAACAGCATACCCACTTCCCTGATGACAAGGCTGAGGTTCAGAAATGTGGGAAATGTGACCCTTCTACTCTGCTCTCTTGATGCAGGTGCCTGCCCTCTTCATGGCTCAGAATGCTAACCACTGCTCCACACACACACATACACACACCTACACAAACACGCACGCACACGCACACCTGCACGCACACACACACGCCTCTGCACTTCCACTCCAAGCTACTTACAGGGCAGCGTGACCTCTGTCGGTCTGTTCCTGTCTGTGTGACTCCTCCCACTTGCCCAACCCCTGTGTCCTGGCAACAGCCTGCCGTCCACCCTCTAGATCACAACGCCTCTGCCATCCACCTTGCTCATTTATGCCTTTATTTTGTGGTGCTGGGCATTGAACCCAAGGTCTTAGTTGGGTCGAGTGCTCTGCCACTGACCCATATGTCCCCCCAGCCCCCAGCCTGCTGATTTGTTTCCCTTCCCAGTCAGTTCCAGGGCTACTCTTCCCTCATAACTTCCTTCACCTGCCCAGTTCCAAGCACCTCTTTTCACACGAGACATGGCGGCAGCCTCCTGAAGATGCTTCTGGTTTCAGGAGTTACTCTTTGTTCCACTCCCTGGGCCTCCGTTTCACATCACAGAGATTTGTACCAGGTACCGTACCCGGCTCCCAGAATGTAGTGGTGTGCAAGACAGTGCAGTCAGGCAAAACAAAGGCGAAAGTGGAACTGCAGGCGCTGTTACAGAGGAGAGCTGTACGGCACTGTGCGAGTTTATGAAAGCAGAGAGTCAGGAGAAGCTTCCTGAATGAAGGACTCTGCGGTTAATGTGAAGGCTAAGTAAGAATTAAATACGGTTTTCAAAAGAATCCCAGGCAGAAATAATACCACGCATAAATGTCCTGCCTGGCTGGTATGTAGATGCTCAATAAATAATCGTTGACTAAAGGAAGCAGGAGGGACCAGATGCAGGCAGCATGGCTGGAACTGATAGAGGACAAGAAGACCACAGATGTGGGCAGGGCCGGACAGGGTGGGCTTTGCCAGGGCCGGAAGGAGGAGGCTGCGAGGTGTGGCGCCCACGCCTGTGATCCCGACACTGCTTTCCAAGGCACGTGGAGCCGGTAAACATGTCAGGCCAGGGCCAGGGGTGAAATTATTGGATGTCAGTTTCTAAAAGACCCCTCTGGCCCACTGTCCACAGGGCAAAGACTGAGTTTAGAGCGGCTTAACATGTCTGGCTTTTAATCCTCTGCGACTCTTTTCCACCATCTCTGGGCCCAGCCAACCTGAGCTGCGAGGTTTTATCCCCGACATCCGTAGGCCCTTGCTCCTGCCTACAGTCCCCACAGCTCTGCACACCCAAGTCCTCCCATCGGTCGGGGCCTGCTCCAGTGCCACCTTCCCTGGGGAGCCCATCGTGACTCCCCTTCCTCCACTGCAATAAGAAACCCTAGCATTACTGGAGTTTGTACCTGTTATACTAAGATGCTGAAAAATTAAAATAGTTAATTAAAAGTTATTAACAAAATAACTAATTAAAAGGATAGTTATTAGCACTATTGTCATTTTGTACTGAGCTCGTTACCCTAGTAACCAAGCACCAACCACACAGTTATAGATTAACTGACCGAGTCGTCATGCTGTTCTGTAAGCATTGTCCTCCCCAACCCCAGTAACCTGTTTGCTGTGTCAACCTTTGTTCCCTTTGTAAGATGCTGTGTCAACCATTGTTCCCTTTATGAGACACAAATATTCCTGGAATTGGCAGACCAAGGGCTATGAATTGGCTCACCACCCACTGGGAAATGTCTCTTCCTCAAGCAAAGGGGAGCAAAGGCCCACCTTGTTTCTGATTCTCATCACTATGTACTTAATGATCAATGAATTAATCATAAATGAGCTATAAAAATCAGTCAAAATTCTGACTCAGTTGCACAGCTTTGCAAATTCCACCTGCACTGTGTCACTGGGCCAGCTAAAATAAAAGCGCTTCTTTTAAAAAAGACGCCGTCTTGCCCCGTTTTTCATCGTGGGGCCTTGTTTTTTGGGTGGGTTACAACCGTACTTTGTCCCAGAACCTACAGCACAGTTGCCATCTGTTAGGACACTGAATCCTCCACACTACTGAGGCAGGGCCGGAGCCTGGGCGTGGAGAGTGGGCCTGGAGAGAGGAGCTGGCGGAGCTTCTGAGAACTGCTGGAGAGAGGTCAGGGCAAGAAGGGTCCTGGCTGCTGCACAGGAGACCTGGGTTTGGTCCTCTAAAGAATGGGAACCAATGAAGGATTCTAAGTAGGGATGTGACCAGATCTGACATCCCATGATGCCCCAGGGCCGCAGAGAGAAGCTGAAGTCTGGACCTGGGGCCAGGGATGAGCCTCAGGCTCCTAGTGACGGTGGACCAATGCCACCCAGTGAGAGGAATGGGAAGGCAGGTGTGGCTTGGGTGTTGCTCAGGCTGTAGCCTCTGGACATGGGAAGGACCCAGCCAAGAGCAGATGTAGCTCCAGCCCCTGGAGAGAGCAGCCTGCTTCTGCCGGCTGACCACCCGAGTGCCTGCCTTGACCCCACGTTCACTGACTGGGCAGCTCTGGACTAGTAGGTTCTCTGTCCTGTGTTTTAATTTCTTCATCTGTAGAATTAGCAGAGATAAGACTTTGACCCTGAGTTTAATCCCCAGCACAACTGAATTTTTAAAAGTATTTACTTCATTAGGTGCTTTGGAGAAGCAAGTAATCGGCTCCATGGAAGGTTTCCTATGGCGTCCTGAAGCATTCTTTCTTTCTTTCCTCTTGTCACCCTGTCATTTTTTCTTGTGCCCTGGTCACTTTCCTTCTCTAAGTCGTAGGCAAGGACCATGCAGCCTCCATCTTGCTAGCCCTCACATCTAGTTTAATTCTGGGGCTCAGTAGGGTATCAGCAAATGTTTAAGGAAGGAAAAATCAAAGGATAGTCTGTTTTTTAACCACCAAACGTAGCCAGTAGAATGTTCAAAGTTAATAGAACATGAAAGGAATGCAGATCATAGGTCCCCTAGGAAGATACCTGGCCTCTGAGTTTGGGACCCAACCACTAACCTCTGCTGCCTCTAGCTCCCTGCATGGCCGGCCCAGGTCGCTGAACTTGTGGCTTCATTGACAAGGAAGCATTTGAAGCAAAATGAGAACACAAGAGGGGACACATAGGGAAAGGCTTCAGGGGTTTCTAAGAATTCAAAATTGTGGGGCTGCTGAGACTGATTAGCAAAGGGCTGGCCAGCTAAGCCTGGCGGGACAAGAGCAAGACCAGAGACAAGGCCAGCTGACTTCCCAGAGCGATCGCTGCACCTGCAGTAATGGCTCAAGCCTGTGGAGACAAGCACGTGGGGATTTGAGGAGGAAAACAAGGACCCCCTGCCCCACCAGTCCATTCTGTCCTTTATCCAGAGCCAGGAGGCCATGCATCTGTCACACCTGAGCAAGACCCCTGAATCTGTAGCAAATGCCCCTTGGTGAAGTTTAGCACATTTGGTCAAAGAATGGATAAAAGCAAATGTGAAAAAATGGGCCGTGCCTACAATACATCAGTTAGAAACCAAGTGTGATGGCACACACCTGTAATCCCACCACCACTTGGGAGGCTGAGGCAGGAGGATCACTGCAAGTTCAAGGCCGGCATGGGCTATACTATGAGTTCAAGGCCAACCAGAATTACATAGTGAGATCCTGTCTCAAAAACAAAGATTAATCTGTTAAATAGGTTACTAAAGATGCCTCGGAAAGGAGGTGTCAAAGCCACTCTGGATCTTTGTGGTGCATTGTAGGCCTGGCTCACAGAGCAGGAGCTGCCCTCTGGCCTCCACCAAAGCCACAGGCAGCTGGACACCACTTGCAGATGGCATAATGCAGGTTGAGAC